CTAAGATCTATTCATAAGTTGATACTGTCTTATTAGAAACTACAGCTGTAGCTGCAATACGACTTCTGTTATTTGAATCAATTACAATAAAAATACTTAAAGGCATCATATATTTGTTCGTCTTACATATATTGTCATTAATAATGATATCATGAAACTGAGTCCATAAACGTTTTTAATCAGGTGACATCCAAAAAATCCTAGAAAGCCTATTATCAATACCTTTAAAGTCTACTTTAAAATACTAGTCAGAATTTTCTTGTTACTTTTTTGAAAGATATTCATATAAAGTTAAAGCATCATTTTTAATCTGAGCTCTAGCTCTGTAATTGCAAATCATATTGTAAAGATCTTGATTGTAAATTTCTTAATCAGGAAATTTATTTCACAATATTCATTTTAAGATAGTCACTCCTAATTAATATTTCTGAATATAAAACTGGATCTCTTCTTTAATATTATCAGGTATCTTACGCAAAGACAGTGAAAATTGCAAATGCAATTCTTCTTCATTTAATATATGATTATGATCTTCAGTAAATTTATTAACAAAGACAAGGTTTATACATTTCCAATATAAGGTATTTAAAGTAAATCTACACTCAATATGAACAGATTCTCAATCTTGATTTTGGGTAGGGTCTAACTTTTTCTTAGGTAAGTATTTTCCACTATGCCTATATTTATATGTCTTATGAATGAAAATATTATTTTCCTTTTCAGCTCACACTATTTTTGTTTTAAATCCTATTCTAGTTGAATAACGTTTTAGATATTGTTCAAGTATGTCAAAGGAGGTAAATGTCTGTTCAACATAAATTTCTTTCAGAGAACTATCTTCAGGTTCATTATCTGCACTACTATTTTCAGATACAAGATCTTCCTCATTTTCATTTACTGATAAGTCATCTGCTGCTATAAGTTTAGATAGAACAAGAATGGTGCTGTTTTCCAAAAGTTCATAGCCTACATTAAATTTGTCAAAATAATGAATTTTAGACATCTAAAAAAAGTTTTTTGAATTAAATTAATTTGGCAAAGACAAGTATTAAATGGAATTACTAAAATTACTATTAAAAAAGAAAAAAAGCTACACAAGAAAAAGTAGTACGAAGAAAAATCTACACGAAGAAAAAACTACGAAGAGAAAAGAGCTATGCCAATAGGAAAAAAAACATAAAGAAAGTACTAAATAAAAAAATAACTATTAAAAGAAAAAGATCACTAAAAAAAAGAGTCGTAAAGAAAAAGGAGCTATATGAAGAGAAATGAATTGCGATGAGAAAAGAGCCATACAAAAAAGTCATAAAGAGAAAAAGTCATACCAAAGAAAAAAAGTATCATACCAAAAGAGCTATATCAAAAGAAAAAGCCGTAAAGAGAGCTACAAGAAAAAAGTCATGCTAACAAAAAAAAACTGTAAAGAAAGAGCTATTCCAAGAGAAAGTATCATATTAAGAGAAGACTACGAAAAGAGAAGAGCCACACCAAAAGAGCTATGAAGAGTATCACAAGAAAAAAGAGCTATGCCAATGAAAAAAGCCGCAAAGAGAAAAAAGCCATGCCAAAAGAAGAAGAGTTCGAATAGAAAATATCACATGAAGAGCAAAGAGTTATGAATAGAATATGTGACATAAAAAGAAAAGGCCTACGAAGAGTAAAGTACCACACCAAAAGAGCTAATAGTGGTGAATGCCAAGAAAAAAGAAAAGAAAAATGAGATACTAGCAATTAAAGTAGGAAAGAAACAGA